GGGAATAGGAAAGATAGCAGAATGAATTAAACATAACTCTCCTGTGATCATTCATATATGAATACATGAAGAGTGTAACTCCACATTGTTCCTGTTGGGTCTTTTGGTCATCGCAACAAAAAGTTGACTAAAACACTCCCCAATAAATGGATTTAACTAGCTGAAAAGATTTGTTTTAAAAGACCCAATGATAAGAAACTCATCTTGCCAGGGACACACAGAGACTAAAAGTGAAAGGATGAAAAAAAATGTTTCACACAAACAGAAACCAAAGTGAGCTAGAGTGGCAGTACCTACATCAGATAAAGTACACTCTAAGTCAAAAACTGTAAAGAGACAAAAAGAGTCACTATATAATTACAAAGAGATCAATTCAACAAGGGGAAATAACAACTTACAGATATACATTCACCTAACTCTGGAAGACATAATGTTATGAGGCAAACATTATTAGATCTAAAGGGTAAGATGCATTCCAATACAATAATATTTGAAGATTTAAAGATTTCACCTGCATCAATGAACAGACCACACACACACACACCAACACCACCACCATCACCACCACCACCACCACCACCACCACCACCACCATCATCATCACCACCACCACCACCACCACCACCACCACCACCAACAACACACAAAATAAAACCAGAAACATTGCAGTTAATCTGCCCTATAGAACAAATATACCTGAGGGGGATTTGTAGAACATTTTATCCAATAGCTGCAAAACACACATTCTACTCACTGGAACATGGAACATTCTCCAAGATGGATCAAATATTAACCCACAAAACAACTTTCAACAAATTTAGAAAAAACTGAAATCATATCTTCTCTGACCACAATGGAAGAAAACTAGAAATCAACAAGGAGTTTTGGATGTTGTATAAATACATGGAAATGAAACAACATATTCTTGAATGACCACATGTCAATGAAGAAATTAAAGGGGAGGTATTTAAATTTCTGGAAACAAATGAAAATGGAAATACAACATACCAAAACCTGTGGGATGCAGTAAAAGAAACACAAAGAGGGATGTTTATAGCAATGAGATCCTATATCAAAAAAGCTCAGGCTGGGGACATAGCTCAGTTGTTAGAGTGCTTGCCTCACATGTACAAGGGTTCAATCCCCAGCACTGCAAAAATAATGTTCAGATATTTCAAACAACCTCATAGTACAACTTGCAAAGCTAGGGGTATAAACCCAAATAGTAGTAGAAAACAAATAAAAAAAAGATCAGAGAGCAGTAGGCTAGGGGAAAATAGAGTTATTTTAGATTAGGTAGAGGGGAGTGAATGGAGAACAGGCAGTATGGGGTAGGAAGGACAGTAGAATGAATCAGACATTATTACCCTATGTACATATATAATTATATGGTGGGATTCTACATCATGTATAACCAGAAGAATGAGAAATTATACTTTATTATATATGATGTATTAAAGTGCATTCTACAACACATCCACTGCCATGTATAACTAATTAAAACAAATTTTAAAAATGAAATGAAAAGAAAAAAGATCAAAGAAATAAAAAAGAATTAAATGGAAACTAATAAAAATAATACATGGGATCAATGGAATCAAGACTAGTTTTTTGAAAAGATAATCAAATTGACAATCTTTTGAATAAACAAAAATGACAAAAGATCTAAATAAATAAAATCAGATAAAAGTAAATATTATAACTTCTACCACAGATATAACATTAGGAACTATTGTGAACAACTATGTACTAACATTGGAAAATCTAAAAGAAAGAAAGAAATTTCTGAACACATATAACCTACCATATAAAACTTGAACATACAAGATTAATTCAAATTTAGAAATGCCTCAGCAAAGAACAATATAGGGCAAGATGGCTTCACTGCTGAATTTTACCAAACTTTTAAAGAAAAACTATCAATTCTTATTAAGTTATTCTAAAAACTGAAAGTTAGGGAACACTTTCATACATATCCAGTAACAAGAGAAGGGTTAAATATAGTATCATATATTTGCTAATGTAATACTAAATGACAGTGAAAATGAACAAATCAATGCAACATCAGTGAATGGTTGAATGTCACAAGCAATGTTGACAAAAGGCCAAGTGGTGAAGCACCTGCCTTAGGTGCTCAGTAGTAAAGTACCTGCTTCACCTGTACAAGGATGGAAATTCAATCCCTAATTCCACACCAAAAAATAAAAGGAATGCATGTCACACGATTCAATTTATATGAATTCATTATAAGAAATACTAAATTAGAGTGTTAGAATTTAATGTAGTAGCTACCTTTAAGGAAAAACCATCAGCAACTGTAGAGTTGTGCTAACAACTTACTTCTTCATCACAATGATGATTAATAGGTGTTTATTTTATAATAATTTGTCAATCTACATATTAATATTTTGTATACTCATATATTTATGTTCATAAATAAAAAACTTGGAGGGGAGGCCAGTTTAGGCCTCCCTCAAAATCAATGCAGAATATAATTTATGATATGATCTCATTAGTGTAAAAAAGTAATTGTGTGTGTGTGTGTGT